GACTTTCTAAAAAGAATAATCTGTTGGGAAAAGAGACATTTAAAACATTTTCAGCTTTTTCTTTGGACTGCTATTTGGTAAAAGCACGGATTTTTTCTGAAATTTTCATGCTTGTATTATCTCAACCACAGCAATAAGGATGAAGATAAAAGGTTTTGACTTCTAGATTCATAAATAAATATAATTATTCAATTACTTTAAAAATCTTGTTATTGCTAGAACTCATTGTCATACAAAAATATGTCCCACTCCAAGTATTCATAATTTGTGTGAAATGAGGCTAAATGAATCTCTATACCAGCTGTTAGTCCCTTTCTGGAATAAGGATCAAGCTAATGAGAAAATGAAATCTGTGGTTGTCTATATTCATTCTTCTTTTCATATATACTCCATTAAGACAGCAGAATTGGGAGTATCTTGATGATGTCTGGTATAGAAACTTGAGCTGAAGTAACACTATTACATGTGTCTCTGTTAGACCTTTATATTATATTAATGGATCCAGTGCTCAATCCCTTGTTGGACCGAGTTCTTTGAGGGTAGGGGCTTAACCTCCACTCATCTTTACAAATAGCTCTGACACAGAGCCTGGCCCATGAGAATGCAACGAATGCTATCAGAACAAAAGAAAATGATCAGCAAAGGCAGGAGTCTTATTGTCCAACAAGATCTTCTTTTGCAGACTGGTCTCCAGTCCAAGGTCTTTTCATTTGTCCTGCTTCCATAAAGGCCTGATTCCTGACTGGGGCAGGTTTGCCCCAAGGCTCAGCTCTCACAGTAGGCTACATTTCAACTTACAAGAAGCACTTGATGAATAGTTGGATGGCATCACCAATTCAATGGACAAGAACTTGGGAGAACTCCAGGAGATGGTGAGGGACAAGGAGGCCTGATGTGCTGCAGTCCACGGGGTCGCAAAGAGTTGAACATGACTGAGCGACTGAACAACACCACTTGATGAATAAGTGCCACATCCACAGGAGAGCATCATCCCTTTAAAAGCCAGTGATGGGATTTCCTCAATGCTACAGGGGGTGAGAATCCACCTGGCAATGCAGGGGACACAGGTTCGATCTCTGGTCGGGGAAGATTCCACATGCTGCGGAGCAACTGAAGACTTTGCACCACAACTGCTGAGCCAGTGCTCTAGACCCACAAGCCATAACTACTGAGCCCGTGAGCTGTAACTACTGAAGCCTGCGCACCCTAGAGCCTGTGCTCCACAACAAGAGAAGCCACCACAATGAGAAGCCTGTGCATTGCAACGAAGAGTAGCCCCAGCTCACTGCAACTAGAGAAAGCCCAAGTGTGGCAATGAAAACTCAGTGCAACCAAAAAAAAAAGAGAAAAAGGAAAAAAACCTAGAGATAAAGGAGTAAGAGGTACCACTGGTGACATTATATTGGTCAGGTTCAAAATTGAACACTATGTCCAGACCTGGACTCCCAATTCTAAGAAGGAAACAATAGAAACCACGTAGGGAGCTCTGACAATAATCAAAGGATTGGCTTGTGTTCAATCAAAGATTCTTTATATTTTGGATTTTAGGAAAAATCATGAGAACTATTTGAAATATCAAAGATAAACATGACATGCAGTGTTTAACCATTCTTGATTAAGCTGTGACTTTATACATTTTCTAACCTGAAACCACCATAACAATATATTTGTTTTTTTTAAAATCAAAACTTGCTGACTTAGTTAGCCTTTTATTTTTTTGCTGAGACTTTAAATGTTTTGCATGCATTCATCAAACCAACCTATGAAATGCAAATTAACTCAACCTCTGTATTTCAGTATTTCCTGAATCGCTTTATACCACTGAAGATAACAAAAAAAATTCTTTGAACACTTTTCTTTTTTAAAATTTAATTTAATTTATTTATGTTTGGCTATGTTAGGTCTTCACTACTGCTTGGACTTTTCTCTAGTTATGGAAAGCAGGGACTACTCCTTAGTTGTGGTGTGTGGGCTTCTCATTGCAGTGACTTCTCTTGAGTACAGGCTCTAGGATGTGCGGGCTTTAGCGTCTGGGGCTTATGGGCTCAGTAGTTGTGGCTCCCATGCTCTAGAGCACAGGCTCAATAGTTGTGGTGCAGGGGGTTAGCTGCTCTGAGGCATGTGGGAACTTCCCAGATCAGGGTTCGAACCCGTGTCTCCTGCATTGGCAGTCAGATTCTTTACCACTGAACCACCAGGGAAGCCTCTCTATCGCCACTTTTCTAAGTTGAAATTCCTAAAAAGGTCATGCGGGTAGGAAGTAAGGTGGTAACCTTTCTTCAAAATCACTAATTTTGAACTTATTTTTCATAGCGGATATTTTACTCATGTTTTCCCCTACTTCCAGGACAATCAAGACATATATACATACGAAAGTGTCTATTAATTAGTATGTGTGTTATTCTACTTTTGCTAACTAAATAATATATAACCTTCAAAAACACATAACTAATAAAGTCATTTTTCCAAAAGTAGAAAAAAACTAAATGCCCATTAACTAATAAATGAATGGATAAAATGCAGTGAATCCATATAATAGAATATTATTCAGCTATAAAAAGGAATGAAGTGCTACCACGTGGATGAACCCTGAAAACATTATGCTGAGTGAAAGAAGGCAGATATAAAAGGCTACACAGTTTATGATTCTATTCATGTGACAAGTTCAGAATAGGCAAATTCTTAGAGACAGAAAGTAAATTAATGGTTGATGGGGGCCGAAAAGGGGGGAACAGGAGTGACTGATAAGGGGTACAGGGTTTCTTTCTAAGTGACAAAAATGTTATGAAATTAGAGTGGTGATGGTTGTATAACTTTTTTAATGTATAACATTAAAAACCACTGAACTGTACACTTTAAAAGTGTGAATTAATGGCATATGAATTATGTCCCAATATGTCTTTGAAAATAAAAAAATAGCTGATCATGAAAACAACAAAAGTTCTATTGATTTTTAAGCAAGTCACTGAATTTTTGATAAGTTTTGGTATTCTCAACTCTAAAATGAAGAGGTGGGATCAGATGCTCTATTTAATTTGTCTTGCTTTAAATATTAATGATTCTACTTGGAATATAAGAGTTTCATAACTTGAGAATTTCTCACAGTAAGAGCTTTGTCTATTGTCTGAAATATGGAACTGCAAGTAAAGATGCCCAGCTGACTAAGCTTAAGCATGTTGCTTAAAGATGTCAAAACCTAAGAGTGAACATTTCTCTTTAGAGGTAAGAAGGAAATACAACTCCTTGATAAAACTAAGCATGCCATCAGGATAAAAAGCAGAAGCAGTGCACACCAGTGGAATTCAGCTGGCCAGCTCCTAACACCATAAAATAGGCTTTATCTAAAACAAAAGTTTCCTTTCACTCAAAACGGGTACAGTTAAACTACTCAAGATTTCCACTCCATTTTTCCTGAGTTTCACATTATTTCTGTCACATTTTTGTAATCTTTCTGTTTTAGAATTTTCAAACTATTCAATTGCAACTACTACCATCAAGCACCAGATCCCATGAAGATTTATACCTACTCTAAATAAGCAACTGGTTCAAGTAACCAAATAAAAATAGCAGGCAATCCAAGCTGCAGAACCAGTGAAGTGAAAGTCCCTCAGTCATGTCCAGCAACCCTACGGACTATACAGTCCATGGAAATCTCCAGACCAGAATACTGGAGTGGGTTGCCATGTCCTCCTCCAGGGGATCTTCCCAACCCAGGGATCGAACCCAGGTCTCCCACATTGCAGATTCTTTACCATCTGAACCACTAGGAAAGCCTAAGAATACTTGAGTGGGTAGCCTATCCCTTCTCCGAGGGAGCTTTCTGACTCAGGAATTGAACCGGGGTCTTCTGCATTGTGGGCAGATTCTTTACCAACTGAGCTATCAGTGAGGAAGCCCAACCAGGCTGATGGCCAATTATATGGGTCAAAGGACAACTGCAGGGATGTTACACAAAAAGGTTTCAGGTCGTTTCAACTCAAGAATGAAAGGAAATAAAACCACAACTGATACACGGAAAGACATCTGGTGTTTCAACCAATTGCCACCAGGCATGTAATTCAAAACATGGAATAAAATATAAAATTCACAGAGCCAACTATAAACATCACAATAAATCATATGAGTGGACAAGTACATGATTTGGGGGCCCTGTGCAAAGAAAATCCTTGTGGTTTTAATGAACTCTGCCCTAGCCACCCCTCAAGCTGCGTCTACCTTCAATCTTTGCCATTTCAGTTAATGGCAACTGCATTCTTCATCACATTGTACATCAATCTGTTAAGAAATCTTGCTGGTTCTATCTTTATACTATATTGAGTTAGAACACTTTGCACCACCTCTACAATTGCCAAGACAATTTTCTTTTGCTTGAATTATTGCAATGGCCTCCTAACTGGACTCCCCAGTTTCTAATCTTGCTCCCAATACAACCTATTCTCAGTAGCAAGTAGAGTGATTTTTTTTCAAATGAGAAGTCCAATCATGTCACCTCTCTGTTCAAAACCTTCTGAAGATTTTTAATTTCACTTAGAGTAAAAGCCAACATCTTTACAATGGCCTACAAGGCCTGGTAAGATCTGGTTTCCTATTTCCTCTCTGGCCTCACGTCCCATTACTCACTTTCTTCCAGCTACACAGGATTACTTACACTTCTTTGAATTCAAGCCCCAGGGCCTTTGCACTTGCTTTTTCCTAGTGATCTGCAGGGCTCTCCCCTCATGCTTTTAAGTCTGTTAAAAGGTCAGCTGGCTGATGGTTCTCCTAACTCACCTTCAGCCCCCAGTACCTGCTTTATTTTTCTCAATAGCAATTACTACCTTACAAAACATCAAACAAAACTGTATGTTAATTTTTCATTTTGTTTCTAGTCTGTTTTTCCCAATGAGAATATAAACTCCACATGGGCAGGTTTTTTTGTATTTTGTTTACTATTGCAACCTAACACCTAGAACAGCAGGTGCTCACTAAATATGTCCAGAACAGGTGTTGCATGAACTCACCAGTCTCACCCAGGTCAGTGCTCTGAAGAAATGTACGGCAGCGCTCCTTGTGCTCCTCAAGGGAACTTCTCTGCTTGTAACTCCTTCCGCAAAACTCACATTTATAAGGTTTCTCAACTATAAGGAGAGCATAAGGGGCACTCAGTGACCCTCAAGGGTTATAGAACAAACGGTGTATTGGGGCCCTTGTGAAAACTGTCCCCTAGGAAGGAGACTGCTGAGAGAAGTCAGAGAACTTGGATACTTGTGCATCTACATTACTTTTAAATTCAGTAAACTGAAACAAGGTTATAGCCTATGATTGATTGTCATGTACTCTTTGAAAGGATAGGTTCCTTCCACAAATGAAAGGATTTAGACTTAATGACTATCCTGGAGCACAGTGTTTTGGCTGCAAATCCAATCTTGCTTCTTCAGGAAAAAAATACAAAAAGGAACATTTTATTTTTCAAGGAGATTCGTGTGGTTTAAGAATGAAGTAGGAAGAGATCCTGTATTCTGTGACATCAAGCTGGCTGTAAGTAAAGAATGCTGCAGTTTGTGGGTATTAGCCACTAAAAGTCTTTTTAGAGCACTGACCTATTTCAATAAATGTAGCTTGTGGCTATAGCAAAGTCTGGGCTCAATTAATAAAAACTGACCTAACCAACTGAGGATCGTTTTGAATAATAGAAATAAGAAGGAATTTCAAAAAATGACTTCATCTTAATTTATAAGACAAAGCAAAAATTTCCTCAAAAGTTCATCCACATAGTACAGGCCACCTTTAATCTTCTAACTCCTCCAAATGCCTTACTGTTATAAATAATAACTTCAACTCTGTGTGCAGGGCTCACCTTTCTGACTTGTCAATAAAATGTACACCAGAAATTTTTCAGAATTTTAGGGACTGAGATTTTTTTTTTTTATTTTCAAGTCCTCTTGCTCTGTTTAAAATAGAGCCTTTGGGCTTAAAGCACTAAAAGATCCTTATGGAATCACAAATTAAAATAAATGCAGGTTTTCTGGGGCCAGGAATGTTAAGTTTCTACATAAAGTGAGGTCCTCTAGAATCTTAAAAATAACTGCCATTGTTGGATCTTACCTGGAAAAAGCAATAGAAAAGAACTACTCTAATTTTTGGGACCAAACTCAGCCTTAACTCATTACTTTGAACAATGAGCTGTAAAAGAAACCCTTCTTTTACCCTTTACCATCTCTCACAGTGGGTTTTCTTGGGGCTGATTTGTTTAATCCTTAGTCTCTGAATTGTGACCAGTTGCAGGTTTAGGGCTGGGTTTTAGTCAAAGCAGAATGTGGATTAACATAAAAACAAGCCCTTTTTTTTTCCTTCAATTAAAATTTTGTCAGATAACATCAAGAACATGAGGTCCCAAATTTGAAAATAAACCCAGTTTTATTTTTCTAGGAGGGAAATTCTAAATGTTAGTTTAATGTGGTTAAAATAAGGAGTGAAAACATCAAGAGAGAACATAGCTTTTTATGAATTCTTATTGTTGCTCATCTTTTAGAGATTAAAAATAAATTGGGTGATCAAGAAGAAAGCTAGGTTTAAGAAATTTAGCTCATATATACCTAAAACTAATATAATGTTATATTTTTAATTATATCTATGAAAAAAAAAAAAGAAAATCTAGGCCAGAATGGCCCAAACTCCCCAAATAAGCCCAGATTAGCCAAAATTTACCCTCAACAGAGATTCATACCCAGTTTACAGTTTTATACAACTTACAAACTGTACATCATTTACTTTATCCAGACTTTTGAATGAATAGTGTGTGTGTATATTTTTAGAAAAATAATCTTTTAATAAAGTTTGCCATAAAAATACTGAAGGCTATAATGTTTTTGCAAAAATTAAAAAAGCATTTTTACAGTGCAGGCTTCTCCTGTCTGACTCTGTTGTTCTCTAGGGGTGCAAAGATGGTAAGGAGATGATCATCCCCATTGAGCCAGACGGAGAGCAATTAATGTCTTAATGGAAGTGCAATTAGCCCTAGAGGTCTCTGCTGTTGTAACCCTTCAGAACCGGAGTGACAGATTAAAGCCTCCATACTTAACTCTTTCTAGTTTCCTCAATGGGCACGGAGAAACACATATTTACTAGATATGGAATGCTCATTGCTCTCACTTACCAGAATGTGTCCTAAGATGACCTGTGAGTGCATCTCTTCTCTGGCATGCGTAGTTGCAGAGGTGACACTTAAAAGGTTTTTCCCCTGTGTGCAGTTTAATGTGGCGGAGGAGGTTACCTTTCTGAGTAAAAGATGCCCCACACTGATTACACTGGAATGGGCGTTCACCTTTAAAAAGGACAAAAAGGAGATTTCTGGTCACCCGGCAATTGGCGAAGCATATGCACAGATTCGATGCCTATGGCAAAAGCTCATGTTTAAGATAGTTTCTGTTCATTTTGGGATCAGATGGAAGCTGTATTTCAAGGGAAGCCTAGGACTGACTTAAGGAATCTTCCTTCTAGAAGAGAAAAAACACTCATCTGGCAAGGCTAGGTATCACCTTGCCTTGGATCAGAGCAAAAAAAATGAATAGCTTTAGAAGTGCTTTCTAGACTTAGGTTTCTGCATTACTTAGCATTCCTTTTAAATAATCTCAATCTATAAAAAGAGTCACAGACTGAAGTCCTAATAAGGTATAGAGAGCCAGAAATGCTTTTTTTTTTTTAATTGAAGAAATGCTTTTTAAAGTCTCCATATCCTATGTTAGATGAAATCTATTGGGCTTGGTGGGAGTGTTAAGTTTGCATGCATCTCTATAGACTGCCTTTTTGTTGTCTGAAAATAAATTTTTTAAACTGTTAATAAAAATTGAATCCTTTCATCTACCAAATTTGAACCCAATACAATAAGGAGATCTACTGTTTTAAAAGTTATGCAAAATATATGCAAGATGCTTAAAAAGCATATCACACAATTTAACTCCCACTTGTTACTGAAGAAAACTGTTTGGCTGACCTAGAACGCCCTGATCTCTACAGTCTTATTCATAGCATTTGTGATATGCTTGCCAAATGCATGGTGAAGCAGAAATAAAAATCACTAGGTAAATGGAAATGCAGAGAGGGAAAGAGACATCAGAATCATATAAAAAATCAATGAAAAGTAATCAAAAGTTAAGTTCTAAATTACACCACTTCTTTTCTTACGTGGCTGAATTAGGACAGTTTTCAGAACAATGGGTAGAACAGACTATTTACCAGTATGGCTCCGCTTATGAACCATTAAGACATTGAAGCTAATGCAGGATAATCCACACACATCACAGTTCATCTTGCCACTGGTTGGCCTGCTACTATCATATGAGACAACGTGTCTCTCCAACTTAATGTTTTCATATTCATTATATTCTCTTGAATAGCTGTAAGGAATTTCAGGCTCTTCTGCATTTCCCATGGGCTCTGGCTTTAAAACATTCTCATCCCTTTCACTGTATTCATCTTTCACTTTCATTGAATCATCTGCAGGGAGGAAAATGCAAGAAATGAACAATGATTGTTTTTGCAGCTATCAAAGCAGCTGAAAGAACAGAGACCCACAACTGACAATTAAATACCAAATGAAGCTAAAAATATTGTACATCTACAAAACAAGAAAACAGCATTAGGATGATCACTGATTATTTGAATTCAGAGCCACGGTCAGGGGAAAACACAAGACACACGTGTACACACACACAAACACATACAAAATAGATGACAGCATTTTAGGCCATTCAGAAAATTAGAGTTAACAGATTTTAGCTATGATTGCTCAGAGCAACTATGAAAAAAACATTTTGAGCAATTTTTCTCCAGTACCGGGGGAGAAGAAAGGTTCTCAGATTTATTACCTTTTTTGGTGGCTGCAATTACAAGGCAAGGTGATGTGCTCTTTGGTTTCAAGAAGAAAATACTATTTTAATTCTTCAATTGCATCTAATTTAAGCCACTAAGACTGAGAGTTGAATAATTAACAAGTTTTTTTTTTCCCTGATTTTAAGCCATGCCTTGCCTCTTCCCCTTCCTTGTATACAAACTGCTAAAATGAGTCTTATCTCTCTCTCTCTTGGAACTGATAAAGAGACAACGCTGAACGTAGAGGAAGCTGGCAGTACTAGTGAAATACTGTTGAGAAAGATAAAAGGAGAAGTAATCCTTTAACATAAGCTTCTAAGGAGTCACTTTCATTGACACAGGTAAATGAAGCTCAACCTAAGCAAGGGGAACAGCACCAATAACCAATACCCAAGTTAGGGAGGGCTAAACTCGAAGCCCTAGAATAAAGCACTGGATAGGAGGGGTGTGGCTGGCCCAAGTAAGCTGGCTGATCAGGTACTATTTCAATAAGAGTTGCAACACTCTTAAGCTGAAGAACATAAGAAATCAAGAATGCAAAAATTTATGTACTGGTACTAAGAAAACCTAAAATATTTGCCTATGTAATAAAAATAAATATTTATAAGGGATTTTTCATATATAAAACATGCTGCATAAATGCTCACTTAAAAAAAATTCATTCTTAAAAACTGGAAATTGTAATACTCCATGGGAATCATAAGTCAATGGGATTTCAGGGCTGGAAGAGAATTTAGAGATCATCTGATCCAACCCTTGTTCTTCAGATGAGGAAATCCAGGAACAGAGATGTTTTGGGGACTAGCCCACAGTTACACAGCCAGTTAATAGCAGATGAACTGGAATTAGAACAATGAACTTGGATTTGCCCTTGTACTCTGACACATGAGTCTAATTTGCTCCTTATATCATATTCCACACTCCCTTGTTAGTGGTGTAGATGTTAAAGACCAAAACACTTTGAAGAAAAGATATTAAAAAAAATGACATCCCTTCCAAACAACACCAGTAAGTGCAGCTCCTGTTGCCACATAGGAGGAAGTATAACTGCAGCTGTGCCTGGCTTGCTACCTTCTACTCAAGTTTCAATTTTCACTTCTATCAAGGTTACCTTTCATCTATATTAACTGTGTTTGCTTAATAGAGCAAGACAGGGCCTAACCACCAACAGAGGAGCCATTGCTGCAGTAGTGTTCCCCTGCTTCTCACCACGGTTCATGGTTCATAACCTTTTACTCTTTGATTAGAAGAGATGGAGGGCTGCAGGAAACATCCAGTGTGTTTCAAAGTGGCCCATCCTATGCATCTGGATTGTATATGAATTGATATCTATTTCCTACATGGAGAGAGATTCATCCCCTTCCTTGGACACATCTTGCCTGTTTTCAGATGGAATTTGTTTCCTTAAGTGGTTTTTGCTTTTTAAATTTTTTTTTTAAAGAGAAGGATGCACCTGAAGCTTGTACCCTCCTCTTTCCTCCATCACTCCAGCTGCGGGTGATATCCCACCAAAGCTTGAGTGCTCTTCAGTTTGCATGTAGGCGTTTAAAACAACCTCAACGGAAAACTTCAGCTACTGAAAATCAAAAACAGCACATAGAAAAGGCCAGCAGAAGTGGATCCTTTTCATCTGGGTTATAAAATGTTAATATGAACAGACTCAGGCTGTTCTGTGGTCCATGATAATTAAAATCTGGTAAGATCAATGTTTTTGAGTCTTTCTGAAAACACAAGACATAAGAAGGTTGCTCCTTTTCTCAGGATTTTGGCTTTAATGGGCTTGACCTAGAACTCAGCACTACACCGACCTAGCTCAAAACAAATCCTTGGCTTTTGTTCTTGAGGACTTAGCTGTAGAACAAGGAAGACAGTATTTGAGACTCAGGGCTCTAAGGGAACAAATCCAAGCACATGAACAGGAAATTGAGGAAGTCCCTTGGACTTACTGGACCAAGAGAGTTCCTGATTTGCTCTTGTGGTCTTACCAGTTTTAGATAAAAGATCTGGATGGCCTCTCTGCATGGTTACTGAGGATAAACAATTCATTATGGTTTACCGTGTGAAGATAAACGAAGCTGAATACTAGAATACATTAGTATATAAGACACAAAAGGGATTCCTGAGAGATTGTTGGGCTTAGCACCTAGTCTCCAAATATAGTCCACCAAAACTACCAGAAGAGAAACTGGTCTGCTCTAAGGACTAAGAGATTCATTCCATTCCTTGGGAGGAAAATTTGTAGGAGCAGAGGAAAGGGAGTGGAAGGGACATTCTACTTAGTGTCCCTTGAAAACATTAATAAATATATCTAGTGGTAAATAACCCACCTGCCAACGCAGGAGACGTAAGAGATGCAGGTTCGATCCCTGGATTAGGAAGATGCCCTGGAGGAGGGCATGGCAACCCACTCCAGTATTCTTGCCTGGAGAATCCCAAGGACAAAGAAGCCTGGTAGGCCCCAGTCCATAGGGTCACAAGGAGTCAAACACAAATGAAGTGACTTAACACATGCACACACTAAAATCGAACTTACCACTTTGAACCCCAAACTGTTTCTAATGTTTGATGTCTTTTTTTCCCATCTGTACCTGCAGCATTCAGGATCTTAGTTCCCCGACCAGGGATTGAACCTGGGCATCCTGCATTTATTGGGAGCTCGGAGTCTTAACCACTGGATCACCAGTGTAGTCCCTATGACGTCTCAGAGTCACACAAGGCATCTTCCTTCTTCCATTCTCCAAATCTTGAAATCGGACGACTTTTCCATCCAATCTCCACATCAAGTCAGTCTCCAAGACCTATAGATTCTATGTTCTTGAGATCTCTAGACGCCAACTCCTCTTTTCTATTCTCTTCGAAATTTAGTTTAGCCTCTCATTCCATCACACTTAAACTCTCTCAACATTCCCTTTCTAGATAGATTTAATACAAAAGTAACCTATGCTTATGTCTCTACAATCTCAAAACTGATATAAAATTGCCTGTAATCTGGATTCTGTCTTCTTAATTCACTGAATCTGCTCCCCTAAAGATCTTCAATAAACTCATGATTCTTAAATCCAGTGGTTTTTTTGTGTGCCATTCTCCCCAACTTCTCTGCAGCCCTTGATACTGTTGACCACCATTCCTTCTTCTTCTGTATTCCTACTTCTTCAGTGAAACTGAAACTTCTTTCCTCACCTTCTGTGAGTGGGTGTGAAAGTCGCTCAGTCGTGTCTGACTCTTTGTGATCCCATGGACCATACAGGCCAGATTCTGTATGGCCAGAATACTCCAGGCCAGAATACTGGAGTGGGTAGACTTTCTCTTCTCCAGGGGATCTCCCCAACCCAGGGATTGAACCCAGGTCTCCCGTATAGCGGGCAGATTCTTTACCAGCTGAGCCACAAAGGAAGCCCAAGAACACTGGAGTGAGTAGCCTGTCCCTTCTCCAGCTGATCTTCCCAACCCAGGAACTGAACCAGGGTCTCCTGCATTGCAGGCGGATTCTTTACCAACTGAGCTGTGAGGGAAGCCCACCTTCTGATTACTTCCTTCTAGCTCCTTTCCCCGTTCTGCCTCCTAAATACTGTCTGTATCCTTCTTTCTTCTTCCCTGCTAGACCTCCTTCCCTATGGCAATTTTATCCACTTTTAAGGCTTAAACTAGCACTCCAAATATATATATCTCAAGGTATAATTTCTCTCCCCTTCTTCTGTCCTCTGTTCCCAAAGGCCTCATAGGTATTTTCACAGTTACTCAGGTTAGAATCTTTACAGTTATCTTTCCTCCCTCTCTTTTGCATCCCCACATTTAATCACTCACTGGTTCTATTTCTGCACCCTCTCTCCAATCTGCTTCTCTTCGCCACTATTTTGCATGCTCGTTATCCCAAATCTCAAACTCTGATTGCTCTCCTTACGATCTATTGTGGTAGCCTTCACATGGTTCTCTCTGCCTTCTTTTTCCTTTCCAGCACATCCTATGCTCTGCCACCAGATGGTTCATGTAAACGATAGCTCTGGTCACATCATGAGCCTGTCCAAATTCTCCAATAGTCTCTGCTGCCAACAACATGAAATGCAAACTCAGAAACAGAATTTATAAGACCTTTCAATGTGTGGCCCCAACTATCTTTGTAATGTTGATTTGGAATATTCAGGTATCTTTAATGAAACTAAACAACTTCTGAGTATTCTTCCTTTTATTATTTCCACTGCCAAAAAGATCTTTCTCCAACACTGCCAAAGGTCCAAATCCAACACATCTTTTAAGGCTAAATTAATTTGCCATTTTCCTCTATTATGCCTTTCCTGTTCCCCCAGCTGCAAAATAATCCGTTCCTTCTTTCTCTGAGTTACTTATAAAGTCACTTCACCTCCCATATGTACATATAAGCTTTCTGAGGTCAGAAGTTACACAGGTTTGGGTTTTTTTGTTTTGTTTTGTTTTTTAAACTCAGTATTCCCTATGACACTGCTTGAAGGTTGTGGGTTTTAAAATACAAATTTAAGGGGTCCCAAACTTTCAGGGTGTGAGGACTGGAAACATGCATTAAAAATATGCTTTCCAGGCAAACTTATGCACAATGGAGTTTGAGAACTGCTGCTCTAGAATATGACAGAGCATAAAGTACATACACAGTA